ATGACAACCACCACTGTACACTTACAGTTATTGAGATTGGTGGATCATTTATAAATACAACATTCATAGTTAAGCAATAAAGAAAATCTAATATTTTTGTTAACTTTGTTCTTATTATTTTTATTATAATTTATTGATAATTAAGTTATTAAGTTCAAGTAAAAATATTTCAATACTTTATATCTTTGAGGTTTTTCCATCGGGTCCACCAGGTATGGAAACGTGCTAAATAAAGGTACTTCCGAGTTCTAACATGATGAGAATGACAGTAAGTGTTGGGAAGAAACAAAACAAAGTCATATGTCTGGCCGCTGTGGGAGGAGACAAGATAATGGAACCCGGAAGAAAGGGTTAAGATAAGAGAAGAGTTCGCCAATTTGTCGTGCCGTGGAGGATGGTTTGTTTACATGTCTCAGCTGATGGATGCACACACACACACACACCCTCCCCCCAACCTCGAGTTCACTTCCCAGTATTAAGGACGTCTCGATCTATATGACTGGACGAATATTTCAACAACCACTTTAGCATATCTGATCGGAGTGTACCTAAGGTTAAACTAGGAAAAAAAAAAATAAAGTATCGTTAGTATAACTTATATTGAGAGTAATACCAAACGAGACTGAGGCCAATATAACGGATCCTAACAAAGACTTGCCTCGTTCTACCTGGATAAAAAAGAAAAAAAGGTGACCGCGAAAGGAAAAGGGTTCAGCTGCCCCTCCATTGACTCACACCCATTGGTCTCTGTAGGTGTTGTAGACCTAAACACGCTCACCATCAACATACACGATCCCTTACTCGCCCAGCATTCGATTTCACTGAGGACGAATCTGCATTACGTAACATTTTAGTTTATATTAATGAAGGTATAGTGGATGGAAAGTAATGATATGAAGGCAACTCACGCACCTCAAGGGTCTGCCTCGTGTTGTGTTTTCAGTCTTAAATCTCACTCACGGTCAGGTATTTACTCCTCTCCCATCTATAGGTGATGATAAATGTCCGTTTCAGGGCACCCGATGTGGTTAGGTTGGCTGGTCGTGGTGGTGGGTGGTCAGGTAGGTGTTGGTGGTGGAGGGAGGGTCAGGTAGGTAGGTGGTGGTAGAGGAGGGTGGTCAGGTAGGTAGTGGTGGATGGTCAGGTAGGTGGTGATGGATGGTGGAGGGTCAGGTAGGTGGGTGGTGGTGGTGAAGGGGGGTCAGGCAGGTGGTGGTAGGGAGGTGGTCAGGTGGGTGGTGGAGGGGGGTCAGGTATGTGGTGGTAGAAGAGGGTGGTCAGGTAGGTGGGTGGTGGTGGTGGAGGGGGGGTCAGGTAGGTGGTGAGAGAGGGGGGTCAGGTAGGTGAAGGTGGAGGTGGTCAGTAGGTGGTGGTGGAGGTGGTCAGGAGGTGGTGGTAGAGGGTCAGGTGGGTGGTGGTAGAGAGAGGTCCAGGTGGGTGGTTGTTGAGGAGGTCAGGTGGGTGGTGAGGTGGTAGAGGGTCAGGTAGGTAGGTGGTGGTAGAGGAGGTTGGTCAGGTAGGTAGGTGGTCGTAGGGAGGGTGGTCAGGTAGGTAGGTGGGTGGTAGAGGTCAGGTAGGTGGGTGGTGAGTGGTGGAGAGAGGGTGGTGGGTGGTGATGGATGGTGGAGGGGGGTCAGGTAGGTGTTGGTGGTAGGGGGGGTGGTCAGGTGGGTGGTGGTGGATGGTCAGGTAGGTGGTGGTAGAGGGGGTGGTCAGGTAGGTGGTGGTGGATGGTCAGGTAGGTGGTATTGATATTGAAACAGTTTATTTAGACAGAACACAGATCCAGAGTCGATTTAAAAATCATAATATTAACATGGCTGGAGCTCTCTTGTAGGCACCTGATATATACTATACTTTTATCTCAAGGAAGTATTATGTAACATTTAGTAACATGATGGTAATAAGAACATCTCATAATGTTACCATGGTTATCTCCAAGATATTTATTTATTATTTTTTCTTTATTTATTTATTTGTTTTTTCATTTATATTATAAGTATATACATAATTTACAGTGGAATTGAAAAACATAAAGATGATAAGGGAGAAAGCAGTACAACATCGGTTGTATTGAGGTGGAACAAGAGGACAGAGCTGTCAGGATTATGTCTAGTTGGCAAATATATTTATGGCAATGGTAATTTCTATCCATCTACATGATAATTTCTGATAATACGGTTTTGGTGGTACAATAAAAGCAGCTATATAAGGTAGGTATTACAAAAAATATTAATAATTAGACAATTGATACTTTTTAAGAGACGATTTAAAGGAAGGGAGCGTGGTCTTTGCGCGGATGGATGGGGGTAAGTTGCTTGGCACCTTCACACCGTGATATTTTATGGAGGCCTGGGAGAGGAGCTCTGGGAGCCTTAAGTTGTATCTCTGATTATTCCGGAACTGGAAATAATTGTTGTCAAGCAAGTGATTGACAGATTTCTAAACAAATAGGGCACAGCAGTAGGTGTTAATATCCTCGAATTTTAACGTTTTCAATTTAACAAATGTTCGTTTTTGTGATCAGTTTTTCCGTAGGTCATTGTCCGCAGTAACCAGGGATTGTGTTTTTGAAGAGCCAGATGCTCCCTGAACCTTTAAATCATCTCTTACAGAAGTGTTATACTTGATATCAACATATCGTGCGACACCACCACTGTGTCGTAACGTATTGACGCAGTTTCTATTATAATTAGGAATGTTATACAAATGTTCAGTATCGATAGTGAGTTTGGTCTCACAGAACCCAAGTACATCAAATTTGTGGGCAATAGAAGATATACACTGATCTAGAAAGGTATCTAAGTGAAGGGGAATAGAAGTGGAAGAAGACAATAACTAAACTCGGGAGAGTCAGGAAAGCAATAGGTACAATTGGGGTTGGTGTAACCCAGTGAGTTTTGTAGAAAGGCATCAGGGTCAATATGGGGAAGAATTGTGTCGACACCATGGGTGAAGGGGGTGTAACACATACGATCTAGTACATCTAAGGGAACGACACTAGCATAGTCAGTGTAGAGTGTAAATGGTACTGATTAAGGAACAGCAAAAATTCAGTCACAGGTGTGAAGATCGAAAGTTATAGTAGTGGGGGGGGATGGCATACTCACGGTGCTAAAACCAACAGAATTAAGAGATGACTAGTACTGTTGGGGTGGGTTATTTTGAGTGGGAGGTGCGCCTGTCTCTTGGTTTGAGGGCCGCTGGTTTCCAGTGCAGAGGGGTGGACGTGTAATAGGGAGTTGGCTGGGGGGGGGCGCTCACAGGTGATAGCCAGGATGTGGATGGCAGCGGCTGGTTCCCCTCTGTGGGGGGGTTCTCGAGGGGCTTTGGGGGTTGGTACTACAGCGGGGGGGGGGGGTTTCCATTTGCCCAAGAGTCCTCCACAACAAGGGTTTTATGACTGACCGTCACCTGTTTCCTGACTTCTTTAAACTGGTCCATTTGCTGTAGGCTGGCTTTAGTCGTACCTGGCATAGGTCCTCGTTGACGAAGATAGTGGTGCCTTTTAGTTTACTGCGTTGATAAAACACTGTCACGGTCAGAGGAGGATGAAAATTTTTTTATCGCGGGGCGGGAGGAGTTTGGTTCCCGACGCGTTGAACACGGTAAAACTTTATTTCAGGAAGTTTAATATGTTCATTCAGCAGGCGTGATATTTTGCGCCGGGATGACTCCCAGTTCTCGTGGAGATCTTCGGGGTCTCCGGCAAACCTGAGGTTGTTTCGTCGCCCTATGTCGTCCACATAATCCACCCGGTCTGCTGTTGTCATTAGTTTTGTTTTAAGCTTTGAATTCTCCTCACTCAGCTGTTGAACTTGGGTCCTGAGTGTTCGGTTCTCTTTAGCGTCAACGTACATTTTTGCTTTTAAGTCACTTATTTCCTCTTGCGAGAATTCTAAGCTGCTTCTAACATCACTTAGCTGGCCAGTGAGACGCCGGTCAGCTTCCTCTAGTTCCCGATGGTCTCCTTATTCATTTGTTGTATGATGTCCTGTATAAGAGTCTGTTGGACTTCCATAATCACGTCAGCCAGCTGTTGTTTCGTGAAATTTGAATTTTTGACACTAGCAGCCAACTTCGACGTATCGGAGCTGATGGGGGGAGTGTAGCTGTGTAGCTGGCAGTAGGGAGTCGGTCAAGCTGTGTAGTAGAGGAGGGTGGTCAGGTAGGTGGGTAGTCAGTCCCGTATAGGCCTCTTTAGTCACCTCAGAACTCACCAACCTAGAAGACATCATAATAACTCATATCATTGTATCATAGCTGGATGATCGCCATACTCGATTCCGAGTGACAGCAAAGTAGTAGTGGTGGAGGGTGGTCAGGAAGGTAGTGGGGGTGTAAGACAGTGTCCACACAAATCGTTCATTTTGTTTACTACGGCAGGTAACGCAGACCAATTACGTCTACCTCTGGGTGACTGGAGTGTGGGACCAGTTCTGCTCTCACATAACCAAGTCTAAGCAGTCGCCATGCTCCAAAACCCCCGCCCCTCCACTTAATAGAACGAAACAAAACCTCTTCCTTATGACTATATATTACAAGTTAGGGAAGGATGATTATGGTGATATATTTTAGGGGCGTGGCTCTCCTACAGTCTCTTGTATCAACTTTTCTCACTTGAAACTGTCGAAATGTGATTTGTTCACAATCATTGTCATTTTTCGAATGAGAATTTTAGGATTTTTCTGTTATTCTGGATGTGATGTACTAAAGTAGCTAAGTTAATTTCAATTCCAAGAAAATGCGTGTTTTTTAAGAAAACACAGCTGACGCAAAAAATTTGCATTTTTTCTTCAAAATTTCAATATACAGTAGGTGGAGGTAGGAGCTGGTGTCAGTGTGGTTGGTACCAGCGGTGATGATTATATATTAATGGTAGTGTGATGATGATAGTGTTATGTGGTTATGATGATCTATGATGACTGTCCTCAATAGTGTTTAGCATTCATTACACCACATCTCTCGTTACAGGGTTTCTAATCAGTTTGTCTTTACAGCGTGTGACTGTCATCCGGTGGGCGCCTCGGGGAAGACGTGCAACCAGACGACGGGTCAATGCCCATGTAAGGACGGCGTCACTGGCACCATATGCAACCGTTGTGACAAGGGTTATCAACAGAGCCGCTCACCCATCGCTCCCTGCATCAGTAAGTGACCCATTGCTTGTTGCCCACGGCGGAGTGGGGAAAGGGAGGGTAGAGGAGAGGGGGTAGGGAGAGACAAGAGTATAGAAAAGGGAAGAATCTCCTGTTCATTACCTTTCTTTTTCTTTCATTAATTTACCTCTGCCGGTGTGAGGTGTGGATGTTGTGTGGTGGAGGCCGTAGAATGCCACCCACCACACCTTTCCTCTACCTTCATTTAGCAGGAGTTCACATCCCGTGTCAGACTGTGGTGAAGTTACTCCCTCCATCCTTTACTCGCTCGCCTTGTTATTACCACAGTTGGAGGATCGTGCACGCAGTATTATTGGTCTACAGACAATCGTCCCTCTTCTGTATGTAAAGAAATTTAGCCACAAATAATCGCCACCATAATACCACTTTCTTTTATATGTTTAGAAGGCCTTAAGACTATAAGAAGAAACTAAGTCGGGAAAATCCTTGAAGTAGTAGATATGCTAAAATAATAATTACTTAATAAAACACTGGTGAATGTAGTTAGTTGGGACTGCATTAGCACCGCTGAGGGAGAATCATGATGGTGGCTGGTACAGGAGAGGTTGGTAATGACTTCTGCCTGGAAGGTCAAGGACAGGACTGTGGTGTGAGGCGGGACTAAAGCAAGTAGGATCGGGTAGGAGACCACAAATACCACTCCATATTCATACCCAGAGTGGAGGAAGCGGGGGGGGGGGGGGATTCTCTACGACTATATCAACACATTGACTCGTATACACTCCATTATGGCGGGCAGACCATTAGGGGTCGCGGGGCAGGTCTTGGCCGTGTTCAACTTGCAGTAGGAATGTCATTATGCAAATGTAACAAGGTTATGATCGCGTGTGTGGTGTGTTAGTGTGTAGTCAGTGCTGTTTAGTGATCACGAAGCCCACAAGAATGTTGAGGTACTTGCTTTGTCAATTTATTCAATGTCCTGTAATCATAGTTAAGACAAGTCATGATAGTGTGAGTGGAAGGTATTGGCCCTGGGATTATTCATACACAGGACAGTATGAAAATTAGATGTGAATATATCTTGTAAATTATGTTACAAATCCTGGACGGTCTGGCTAAATGAGGTACAGGATAATTAACTGTCTGAGCCAAGAGTGTGTGAATGACTGGAGTTAGTTAACAATTACTTTGACTGAGCCTTCGCTTATTCAACACTTTTAGATCAATGTTTGAGTTGTTTAATACGAAACCTCAATTTAGTTGGCAAAGCTTCCTTAGCTATTCGTCAGAATTTTTATAAAAAAAAATTCCTCTATAATAAATTGTGATTTGGGCGACCATGTAAAAGTAATATATTTTCAGCTAGGTAAATCAAATGGGCGTGTAAGAAAGTGTTGTCTATGAGATTAATGTCAAAACTCAAGAAAATGGTAATTTGTCTTGGCAAAATCTCGGAATTTTTCTCACAGAAAATGTGATTACGAGGACTAAAATAAAGGAAGAGGATATTTTTACCCACAGAATGTGAATCAGCGTGTAAAAGTAAGCTTTTGGTGAGATTTTCAAAATACTGTGGCCTAAAACCGCAAATATTAGCGATTTTCCCAAGCAAAACGTCGTAATAACTTTCCTAACTTACTCGTTGTAAACTGCGATTAAGAGACTAACTCAATTAACACTCTTTTTTTTCCAGGTGAATGGGCACATGAAAAAGTTCAATTTAATTTTGTTTTTAATCTAAAACGTCAGAAAGATTCTTATTTTCCTGGTAAAACATAGGATTATTTTGTAAAAAAATTGTGGTTAGGGTGACAATCAATGAGTATGATATATTTACCCTAATAAATTGTATCAGTATGTAAAAAGTGCTGCTGTATTAAGTTAAAGGATAATGTCTTCAGCCACAGAATATGAATCAGGAATTCAGGACATTAAAAGGAATGGTATTCATGAGATTTTGAGAATATGAAACCCCAGGCTTTTCCAATTTTCGCTGCAAAACATCAGATTTTTTTATAAAAAAACGAATATCTGAATAGGGTGACTGAGTAAAACAATACGATGTTTTCACCCAGAGAAATTGTATCGGCAAGTAAAAGGTGCTACACAGTACATGGAATTTTGATCTTAATACTTTAGACATATGGGTGAGATGTTTAACACTCACATGGACTGAGGGTTAAGTTTAACATTCAGTTATTTAACATCCACTTAAAATAAGGCTTGTTGTTAACAGTGAGATAGACTGAAACTTGTATTATTGAACACTCGGGTTGAAGTTAAGGTATGGCGGGGTTTCGATACATTACATTAAAACTCCTTAATATTAACCTGGTCATTGTTTCCTGCTTCCAGAAGTGCCTGACCCTTCGACTATTAGACCAGCTGCCCACAGTAAGTATAGACTGCACCCAGCCCTGCCTTCTTGTTTACCTTCACTCCGTTCATCCCAGTTTTAGTATATAATGAATATCCTTCGATCAACTTTACGCTACAAACTAGATTTTCAACTAGAATAATACCAATAATTTTTTAAGAATATGAACAATGGTAAGTTAAGTTAGTGCGGGTATATAATACAGTATACTCCACCGTTTATGGTCTCACGTCAACACAAAACCTCACATGCGAAGGTTAAGTTCAGGTATCTTATCTTGAAGGTGAAAGGGTGGCAGATGAGTGCTGTTTATTATCCATAGTTTTGGTGATAACACGAATGAAACTCACCGATAACACGAAAATCACTGTTGTGTATTGTGATGGATTAAGTTAGTAGCCAAAACTAGGGATATCTATTAGGTAATTAGTGTACTAGGCAACAGCACACACACGGTCAGTCAGTACATCACGAGCTGCTGCCCAGAAGAAATAATCTCTCATCGTTTAAGTTAGTCAATCAGTCAGTCATTAAGGATTGGTATTCATAGGCTGAGACAGGTGTTATAAGTAGATTCATCACTTATTGTGTTTATATTGTTATTATTTTATTACCTGGCTAGCATACCTGACCCCCATACACTACCAACAATGGACAAAGTTACTGCCATCAAGCCAACAAGTTCTCCGCCATTCTAATCCCCCAACCCACCCTTCACCCACACCCTGTAATGTTCAGGTAAATGAGGTGTCTGCGAAAAATTTAGCCAGGCGAGGGCGGAAAGGAGAGGAAGCGGTGGCATAGTGACAGGGAGAAGATGGGGAAATGAAATTGGTGGGACAGAGGATGAACAGAAAGAAGAGGGAAAAGGAAGGAGGAGAAGGAAGAGAGAGAGAGGAAGGGCAGAATACGAGGAAGGAGAGAAGGGTGGGAAAGTGGAGATAGAATGGGGAAACAAGAGAGGGAGAGGAAAAGTGATAAAAATATTGGGAAGAAAAAGAAGTTATAGACGGAGAAAGAAGCGAGATAAGGGAAAGGGATGAGAGGGAGGAAAAGAGTTGAGACAAGGAAAGGGAGGAAAAAGAGGTGAGACAAAGAAAGGGAGAAACGAGTGCGAGGGAAAAAGAGGCGAAAGCAAAAGGGGAGTGAGAGGGACGGGAAAAGAGGTGAGACAAGGAAAAGGAGGAATGAAAAAGAGATGAGACATGGAAAGAGGGGATGAGAGGGAAGGGAGAGAGATGGGAGGAGGAGCAGGCAGAGATGGAAGAGTACTTATGTATGCAGGACATGGTGGAGATGTCAGCCTCAAGTGTGTACAGGTCGGTCCCAGGGGCCAGCTGGGTCCGTGCTCGACCTTGCCTGGCTACGACACCCACTGAGGCTAGGTGGTTAGGCTAAGACACCCACCCACCCACCCTTATGAGCTAGGCATTAGGCACCTTCCTATGAGCTAGGACACCCACTTTTCATGAGCTAGGGGCGAGGACACCACTCATCTGAGGGCTAGGATACCCAGCCCACTTTTTAAGATAAGTCTCCCACTCTTCCTATGAGCTAGGACACCCACCCTTCATGAGCTGGGGCACCACCCTTCCTATGAGCTAGGGCACCCACCTCCTATGAGCTAGGGCACCCACCCTTCACTGAAGCTAGAACACCCACCCTTCCTACAGAGCTAGACACCACCCTTCCTACGAACTAGTACACCCTCCCTTCCTATGAGCTAGGGCACCCACCCTTCCTACGAGCTTAGCACCCACCCTTCCTACGATTAGTACACCCACCCTTCCTACGAGTTGCACCCACTCACCTAGCTTTACTGATACACACACAGGGATAAGCTGTTCACATTATCGTGCCTAAGATAGGTGTGTGTGTGTGTGTGTGTGTGTGTGTGTGTGTGTGTGTGTGTGTGTGTGTGTGTGTGTGTGTGTGTGTGTGTGTGTGTGTGTGTGTGTGTGTGTGTGTGTGTGTTTCACTTATATATAGATAAGTCAGGCAATATTTGTAATATCTCCTAGGACAGACCTCCCAGCCGGCTCATTGTACCAGACTCCCTGAAGCCTTGCCAGTCAGCTAAGTTGAGACGTCCACTTACAACTGGTGTCGTCACCCACACCGTCACTGTGAGCTGCTGTATCATCCTCCCTGATATGTAAATTATCCACCCATTAATCTCAACAATATCCTGACGAGGACTTCGTAACTGCGGTGATAAATGAAATAATACGAGAGAGAAAATACAATTATAATAAATGAGGATTATTAAAGAAAACGGCAAAGAAATATTCATGGGTATATTTAGTCAGAGAAAAATTTCGAAATGTGAAGTGAATCATGTTTAGTAGTATCAGAGGACTCAAGTAAGATGAGCAACGTAGACTCTTTGTCGCCAGTACCGGGAAAAACAGTATTAGGAGCTCAGGATCTGGCGGTGACCACAGCCTCGTTAATTTACGAATACTGAAGACAAGGATAACTATGCCATGACTGGTGTTTCCTGCTTATGTATGCCCACCCGCTGACGTCGACTCCCAGCTCCGCCTCCGCCAAGCACCCTGAGTGTCGGCATCATGCCAGCCCTTGAACTCATGACCTCCTAGTATCCCACCCTGAGACGTGCTGAACATGTGGTCACCCCGCCTTGTAACCTCGTGGATTATATCTGTAATTAAGTTATCATTGAAATGTGACTACACTACTGTAATTTGCCAACCTTAAAAGTAAGAACCACTAAATTGTGGTGCCATGAACTAAGGGTCGTTAACTTATGACCCCATGAACCAAGGATCATTAACTGGCGACCCCACGAACGAACTAAAGATCGCTACCGTGCACCTGTCCTCACCTTCACCTGACAACATGTATCTCATATACCCTCCTCGTACCCATAACTTGGTAAAAGAGACGAGTCACATGTTTGTTTTCGGCATCCGTGTTAAGAGGGAAGTTGGTGGGGTCAGGGAGGTGGCGAGAACAAATGAGAGGGAGTGTGTTGTTGGTATACATTAGTGGGGGAGAGGGAGGGGCAGGCGGGAAGTGGGTTTGTTGTTATGTACGAGCTTATACGAATGTTTGAGAGAGAGAGAGAGAGATTAGCAACAGGATTTTGGTGTTTATGTGTGTTTGGAGGACAAAGAAGGGAAATAGGAGGGAAGGGGAGGTGGACAAATTAGGGGAGAAGAGGGAATGGGTGTTTCAGGAGGAGAAATTGGCGAGAGGGAAGTAGTGGAAGGGAGCGTGAGGGAGATGGAGGTGTGAGAAAGGGGAAGGGCTTAGGAGGGAAAGGAAGTAAGGGGTGGGAGAAAAGTGGGTGTAGGAGGGGAGGAAGTTTAAGGAATAGGAGAGAAGGGGGGGAGGGGCTATGGCAACACGCCACACTTTATGGCTATAAATTACTTTATATCACTCCCAACCTTCTCCAGGTGCTAAACACTGCGGCCTGACGGGGCATGGATTACCCCAACCACCAGGGACACACTAACGCATGCGCCCATCACAACGCCATTTACACCTGCTCCTGCTGGAACGCATTTAGGCACAAAGTTGTCCGGGACTCTTTCCGTAAATTAGAACGTCCTTACATTGACTGGGACGCCCTATAACTCCGTACATGCACCTTTTGGGAAGCCTAAACATTTTCTAGAATGTTTAAACACCTGCTGGGATGCACTTATACCTGTTAAGGTATCCTTTCACCTACTAGAACGCACTTACTCCTGCTGGACCGTGTTTATACCAGAGGTGACGTCCTTATACTTGGCGGAATGCCTTTATGCTTAGGACATACATGCACTTGTTATAATAGTCTTTGCGCATTAGGATGCACATGCTGGGTTAGAGGCTTAGATCAACTCGTTAACATAGGCTGGGACGACTCAACATACGGCATGTGTAGACCTGTTTGGGACACTTTAACATCTGTGTAGACGAGCTTGGTTGTCCATAGACGTATTTGGGTCGCTTTTTAACACTTATGAGGACACTCCACTTATAATAGATTTTGGGGTGTGAAAAAGTACCTTCCGCGTCACTTTATACAATATGCCATAAAACTAGTTCTGATCAGAGGAAGGACAGCTGTGTTGTTAGACAAGGTGTTAACCGCGTATGTGTGAGAAAGATAAAATTTATTATAATACTGTAATAATAATTATAATAATGAACGGTTTATTGAGATAAAATGGCAGCAAAACGACTGAGAATATAAAAAAGATGATGAAAGTTAATATTGTAAAAGCTTTCTGTTCAAAAAATATAAGAAATATGGAATGAGCACATAGATTAACTACAGATATATAACTGGGGGAGCTGGTCTTGTAAATTTTCTTGAGAGAGAGAGAGAGAGAGAGAGAGAGAGAGGTTGGGTGTATGAAAGTAGAGAGAGGGGCGATTTGTGGAAGGCTATGTGGGTGGGGGAGGATATTTGTGTAACTACAGGTGTGTGATGATAGGAGGAGGAAAGTGTTTGTGTGTGCGAGAGAGGGAGTGGGAGGAATAGTAGCGTGCGTCCAAGGTAGGAGGGAAGGACATTACCTTGGATAACTGAGGGAAGCATAGCAGTCCTAGGGCCTACTTGGGAGTAAGTTACCAGGTTCACTAATGCTCCTTTATAGGTAAGTCAGTAATCTGTAAATTAAAATTCTTTACGCTTCCAGTAATAGCTGAACTTAGTTCTTACTTCAAGTTGTGTGGCAGTGTACGTGTAAGATAGAGCGTAGTAGGTCCGGGCATAAAATATCTGTGTAGGGAGGAGAAAGACATGTGGTGAGGATTCAGGTATATATGTAGGAAAGGTGTACAAGGTAGTAGGGAGACGCAGCTGAATTACTGGGCGGGATGTAGAGGACGGTATATGTATAATGGGAACAGATGAGGAGAGGCAAGGTGTGTATGGGTAGATATGAGGGGGGTGTAACCGTGTAAGGATTTGTGTAAGTCGAAACAGACATAGGATGGAGAACTGGTAGAGGAAGGTCAGAGTCCTTGTAGGTGTGTATTGGGTTCCTGGGAGAAG